TTCAATGCCTCGCTTCCCCATCCTCCTCGTGTGCATGCCTGTCACTAACAAGCAACGTGAGTCTCACATGTACTTCCGAGAGTGCTGACAGTGCTGTGGGTTGATCTTATGTGTATATTGGCCCTCCGCCTGTCAGAATGTTATAATTGTCTAGCCTGCAGTGGGGTGCTCTATAGTGAGTACAGCCCAATTAGGGTTTGCTATATGTATCCAACTGCTTGCTAGTGAATTCCCTCCTTTCTTCTTTTCTGTTTCTCACTGCTAGTTTCTGACACCGCCTTCCCTTCTGTGCCGCGCTTTCCCATCCTCCTCGTCTGCATGCATACCAATGACAAGCAACGTGAGTCTCACAAACGTGCAGAGGATGCAGTGAGTGCACTGACTGATCTAAGCTGACACTTCTGGCGTAGCAATGGCTCTGCTTTCTGCCTTCCTTTCTGTCCCGCGCTTCCCCATCCTCCTAGCCTGCATGCCTGCTACTGACAAGCAACGTGAGTCTCACACGTAGTGCAAAGAGTGGTGCCTTTCTGATTTTCCTTCGATGCCGCACTTCACCATCCTCCTAGTCTGCATGCATGCCAATGACAAGCAGCGTGAGTCTCACACGTAGTGTAGAGAGTGCAGAGAGTGGTGCCTTTCTGCTTTTCCTTCGATGAAGCACTTCCCCATCCTCCTAGTCTGCATGCGTGCCAATGACAAGTAGCGTGAGTCTCACACGTAGTGCAGAGAGTGCAGAAAGTAGTGCCTTTCTGCTTTTCCTTCGATGCCGCACTTCCCCATCCTCCTAGTCAGCATGTCTCCTGCTGACAAGCAACGTACGTGTGATGAGTGCTGAGGGTTCAGAGAGTGCAGAGAGCTGATAGTGCATGCCTAGTGGCTCTGCTCTCTGCCTTCCCTTCTGTGCCTCGCTTTCCCATCATCCTAATCTGCATGCCTTCCGATGACAAGCAGCGTGAGTCTCACATGTAGTGGAGAGTATGATGTGTTTTCACTGACTGATCTAAGCTGATTGTCTTGGCCTGCAGTGGATTTGCTCCCTGCCTCCCTGCGGTGCCACGCTTCCCCATCCTCCTCCTCTCCATGCCACCCTAATGATAAGCAATGTGAGTCTGCTGACTGCTCTGCTCTGAGTGCTGAGAGGTAGTTACTGCGACTTGATTAGGTCAGCTTTGATTAGTGCTCTGACCGGATAAGCGCGCTGCAAGCTGAATTCCAGTTATCTAAGCTACGGTCCGTCTTCCAAAGTTGATAACCATTGTTAGCTGATTTGGGCACTATGTCCTTGACCTTTTCGCGTATCTGCGTCCTTCCAATTGGAGCTTTCTCATTTGTCAATCAAAACAATAATTAATTTTCGTGCTGAGAGAGGAGGGCAGCGGCAGTTATTTGAGGCGTGCACCATCACGCGCGCTCCACGGTAGTGACGTACGTCACTGCCCAATGGACGTTGATGCCCTCCGCTCTCCCACCCCCGCTCCCCTCCTCCTCAGCGGCACTAAACAGCCATGCCACGTACGACGACAGCAGCAGGATCTGCCAATTTCCCCCCTGGTGCTACTGCTGATGGTCACGTGCCGATGGGGGATGTGGAGCATGCTACTACTGCTGTCGCACCTGCTCCTCTTCCTGGTCCCTCAAGCATCGAGGACGTTGTCGAAAGAGTAAGATTGGAGGGAGGGTGGGGGGAGTAGCGAGGGGAGACCCAACGCATCCACGCAGTGTCGTATATGCCTCGCGTTCAGCGTTTCAAGGCGAATCCAATTACGGTCACGTAGTGGGGATTTATAGGAGGCTACTGCTTCCCCCATCCGCGTGAATCCCTTTGCCGCAAGATAGCCTGCTCGCACACCTTCGTCGTTCCCCCCCAGCATGAACCTGTAACCGAATGCCTCGATCGAAAATTCAGAATTTGGCTGAGTACGCAGATTTAGAGATTTCGAGGCTTGCTCGAGCCCCCCCCCCCCCCCCCCCCCCCCCCCCCCCCCCCCCCCCCCCCCCTCCCTCACTCCCTCTCCTTCTCCGCCAACCTGACGTTTCTCCCTCCCTGCCTATCACGCCTCAGCAAGGACATGAGGAGGAAGAGGAGAAGGTGAAAGAGGAGGAGGAGTTGGAGGAGGAGGATGAGCCGGAGGAGACGGTTGTGCCAGCAGCACAAGCACCAGTGGTGGGAGCAGCGTGTGCGGAATCACCATCAGGGTCAGAGAGGGGATGAGCATCTGTTACATGTGACCCATCGGCACAGCAGCAGCAGCACAATGAGAACCGGCAGCAGCTGCAGCAGCACAGCCAGCAGCAGCAGCGTCAGCAGCACCTGCAGCAGCAGCAGCTGCTGCAACACCAGCAGCATCAGCTGCAACAGCAGCAGTAGCAGGTCCACTGGCTGCTGTGGCAGCAGCAGCAGCAACAGCAACAGCGGCAGCTGCAGCAAGTGCAGCGGCAGCGGCAGCGGCTGCTCCGCAATCTGCACGAGCTCCATAGGGATCAAAACAACCTCCCAGGGATCTTGCGGGATGGCAACTGCTGGAAGGTGAGACCCAGAGTGGGGAGGGCTCCGATAGTTCAGAGCTGCGGGAACAAGGAGCTGGAGGCAGTCCCCTCCTCTGGCAGTCCCTCCACGCCTGCCCCCCTGTCAACCATCTTCAAGGACTCTCTTTCTCTGGCCTTTCACCTCCCCTCTCACCTCCCCGCTCACCTCCCCTCTCACCTCCCCTCTCCCCTCCCCTCTCACCTCCCCTCTCAATCCATCCCATCCCCTCCTAACCCCCATTCTCCCCTCTGCAGTCCCTCCCTCCTGCCTGCCTAGCTATAATTCTCGCTACATCATCCCGTCAATTTCATTGTAACCACAATCTCGTCATTCGATTATTCCGTGCACGGCACTCTGTTCTAGTTCATCAATAAGACTGACTGACCTGGAGTTGTTCCACTGCTAATACCTGCTTCATTTCACAAGGGCATAGGAGAGTGGTCTCCCTTTGAACGGCATGCACGTAAATGCATGTTTAAAGTGGAAACATTTTCTTGTTCTAATTTTGTTATCGAGTTACTAAGTGTAAGTGTACACTTACATACGCGAGATCTTGCCAAACCTTTCTGTTCGCGCATTAAGCACCACGATTCGTCAGACACCAGCAGCACTGTAGCCAGGCCGTACGTAAGCGCGTGGAACCTCTGGGCGCGGGTAAGTTCCAAACTGACTGAACGGGGCACCACAATTGTTATTGTAAAAGTGTTGGATTGATTGGCTCGGTATCGTTAATTAGCGTTGCTGTACAAGGTTCGGTAATTTGTCTATGCGAAAAGCAGGATTACAGTGCGGTGGCTGTTCGATATTTCCCCTGATCAGGCACCTTTAGAGCGTCAAAAGCATTGCATCGAAATGGATCTGCCTGTACGAAAGGAGAGGGTTGGGAAAAAAATGTTGGCGAAACAAACACTGCCGGGGGCGAACTTTCTATACGAAACTGAGCAACCCTAAACCTGAAAAACAGGGGCACATGCGCAAGGAAGCATTCGAAACACCAAGTGAAAACACTAACTTGCTTGACACTGCAGCAGCTACCACCATTATCGTAGTTGCTTCATCACCGCCTACTATATATCGCATGCACAAGGCGAAAGGCCCGAGCTTGTCCATAATAAACGTAGGGCCCCAAATTCAGGCCATATGTTAGGGTACAGGCACTTAGATAGTGGATATGAGACGCGCTAAGAAATAGCAAGACCCGCGAGAGAGGTTAGGCAGCATTACGCCATGCTGTACCGTGCCTTCTCCAGACCAGCAACTCGTCACCGTGCCCCGCTGTTATCACAAAGTCGTAGGGATCTTGCTACCGCCACACTCTCGTGCGACGCCTTCCTACGTAACACCCCGACCTCCCACGTGCGACGCGAACCTGCATGCGAACCCCACCATTCTTGTGCGACGTCCTCCGCACCGACACCAGTAACGACAGAGGTCCCAGTCTCCACCCCCGTTCGATGCACCTCCACGTTCGACGCGCTTCGGTCAAGCGCTCGCACCTTATCTACCGCGCGACGCACGACCTCCGCTGTGTGACGCACCGCCACGCGGCGGCGACAAACGTTTACTTGTGAGACACATAGTTGCTGCGAAAATGCTTTCATCGTGAGTGCTCTATTTTCTTGGAACCTAGAAAGGGTGGGAAAGTCGGGAGTAGCCCTCCTCGAGGAAAGATTTGAGTGCGGGGTTGCGTCACTTCTCCCCAACTCGTCCCCCATGCCACACAGGGTTACACTGAACCCTAAATATTATTTTCTGAACCCACGCAGGGCAAATGTGGACCCGCGTTTTCCCAATGGTCTATTTTGTTGCAATAAGACATTCCCAATTCAATTGTGCAGGTGCTGAAGCCAGGCACCAAGGAGAGATACAGAAAAGCGATGCTGAACACAAAGTGAGCTGCTCGCGTTCAGCTTAGTATTTATTGTTCTAGTTCTCCTTTACTGAAACCGCAGTACCTGATTGTTTTCATTATCACGCTCCACGCTGTGACGGAATTAAGCATTCGCATACAAATATTCCACTATGCTCGTTGTATGTACGTCATACCCTCGACCCTGTTGAGCGATCGTTCGTTACGCGAATTTTCCACAATCTTCCCACCCGTTCGGCGCCTGCGGTCGCGATATGTGCGAGCCGTTCCTAGTACGCTCACGTTTTTATCGTAAACGCCACCCAGTTGCCCTGCTGAGGCGTGCGACCAAGCGTGTACCATCCCCTCTCCCATCTCGTCCATGTCCACGTGTGTTCGCAGGTCAGAAGCTGTAAAAGGCGCCCACAACGCGCGGGCAAGCTGCCTCGGCTGGATTGCGGGCCGAGACGCATACATCGAGCGGCGAGAGAAAGCGTGGGCGGGAGACCGTTGATGCCGCCCCTCGCCTGAAAGCAAAAGCAACGCGTTCGGCCGAACCTAGCGAGCCTGAAGGAGTGTCAGCTCGTGCTGGTGATGCCACAGAATGCTCCCCAAGCGACACTACTACGGGTGGGGAAGAAGGCATGAATAACATGGATGGGGGACACGGTGGAGGCAGTGGGGGACGAGGGGATAGAGGAGGGAGAGGGGAAGGGAGAGGGGGAGGCAGAGGGAGAGGGAGAGGGAGAGGGGTAGAGAGAGGGGGAGGGGGAGGGAGAGGGGGAGGGATAGGGAGAGGGAGAGGGGGAGGGGTAGAGAGAGGGAGAGGGGGAGGGATAGGGAGAGGGAGAGGGGGAGGGGTGGGTGTAAGGGGGGCGCAGGGCGGTGAGGACAGGATGGAGGGCAGGGGAGGCCGCGACAGGGGCGGAGGAAGGGGGAGAGGGAGGGCGGCGGATCGTGGAGAAGGAGAGGCCGAGCGTGCAGAGTTTGGCGGAGGGGAGACGGAGGGAGACGCAGGTGAATCAGGCAAGGGGGGGAATGGTGGAGGCAGGGGGGGAGATAGGCGCGGCAGGGGTGGAGACAGGGGGGGCAGGGGAGACGGGGAATGCAGGGGAGACAGGGAAAGCAGGGGAGACGGGGAAAGCAGGGGAGACGGGGGAGGCCGCAGAGCCAGGGGAGGAAGAGGGGGGGGGGGCAGGGGGGGTGGACAGGCTGCCAGGGGGAGGGTCAGGGGGGACAGGACCGCGGTAGGGAGCGGGGAGGGAAATGCAGCGGAGGAGAGAGGGAGGGGAGTCGCATTGGAAGTCGGAGTTGGAGGTTCGTCGGGTGGTCACTGGTGGCAGAGCGCAGGCGGCACGCCACTCAAGTTGCGGCTGCGTAGATTTGCGAACCCTGAACCGAGTTGTATGGAAGCCAAGGAGGAACTTGACTGTTGGGCGGAAGCGTTTGCGACTCGGGTCATGTGTGAAGCTCATCTTTCCGCAGCAGGCACGGGTGAGGTGGGTGGTGCGACTGGGGATGGAGCCAGGGGATAGAGGGGGATGGGTAGGGGAGGCGGGATGGGTGGGGGGAGGCAGCAAAGACGGGTAGGGGCTAGACCTGGCAACGGGGGGCATGTGAAAGTTTAAAAGGAAGAAGAGGGGGTTGCACTAGCAAGAATGAGGATACAAATAGCAAACCCTAGAAGGGTTGTACTCGCTATAGAGCACCCCACTACAGGCTAGAGCATAATATTCTGACACACCCCCATAGCCAAAGTGGGGTGTAATCAGCAGAGCAAGCAAAGCAGTACAAGCTCAGGGTGGATCACAATGTCACCACACATTCTGAGCACAAGTTCAAGAAGCAATAGTTTAAAGTTCACAATTATGAGCAAAGCTAGTGGTAGTCACAACGGGCAAGTGAGGAGGAGGAAAGAGACTATGAGAGGAGAGGAGGTAGTGGGCGGCAGCTGAAGCTGCTGGCACACGGCGCAACTGGAGCAACTGGCACACGGGCAACTGGAGCAACTGGCACACTGGCAACTGGAGCAACTGGCACACGGGCTACTGGAGTAACTGGCTCCGCGGCTAAAAGTAGCGGCAGACGAGCAACGGACTCACGGGCGACTGGAGCAACGGGCTCACGGGCGACTGGCGCAACGGGCTCACGGGCGACTGGCGCAACGGTCTCACGGGCGACTGGAGCTGCTGGCTTCACGGTGGCCACCCCCTTCAACCTCCCCAAACTATCCCACTCCCCCTGACACACACCCGCTGCTACACCGCTAGCTCCACTCCCCCTTCACCCCCCCTTAGTACCACTCCAACGGCTCCAACAAGTCCACCCCCCCTCAGCGGCAGCTGCAGCACAGGGAGACGGAGGAGGAGGAGGAGCAGGGAACGGCACACAGTGGCTTCACCCCCATACCCCTCACCCCCAAACCCTAATTCAGGAGAACGGGCTGTAGGAGGGGTGGGGCGCCAGTAGAAGCACGGGGGACAGCGGGGAGGGCAGGGGCAGCGAGGAAAGGGCTGCCCACGGGCCTGGCACAGCCGCCCGAACCGCGCGCAGGCGGCCCGAGCCGCGCGCGGGCCTGGCGCAGCCCGTACGGGCCGCGCGCGGGCCTGACGCAGCCCGTACGGGCCGCGCGCTGGCCCGGCGCAGCCCGTACGGGCCGCGTCCGGGCCTGGCGCAGCCCTTACGGGCCGCGCGCAGCCTGTACGGGCCGCGCGCAGGCCACGACGGGCGACGGGGGGCGACGCGCGGGTCCCCGTCGCCCGTCGCAGCGCCTCCCGAGGGCGACGCGCCGAGTGACGGGGCAGAAGCCCGCCGCGCGCCTCGGGGCGCACAGCGGGCAGAGAACCGCCGCGCGCCATGGGGCGCACGGCGGGCAGAAAACCGCCGCGCGCCTCGGGGCGCACGGCGGGAAGAAAAACTGCCGCACGCCACGGGGCGTGCGGCACAGAGGGTAGCAGTGGAAGTTGCAGCGGAAGCAACGAGGTGGTGATCCCACCCACAGGATCGATCCAAGGGGATCGACCTGCTCTGATAGCATGTGAAAGTTTAAAAGGAAGAAGAGGGGGTTGCACTAGCAAGAATGAGGATACAAATAGCAAACCCTAGAAGGGTTGTACTCGCTATAGAGCACCCCACTACAGGCTAGAGCATAATATGTCAAAATACTAGCGTGAGTTTGGCTTAGGAGCCATAGTTTAGGAGCCTTGGTAGTTGAGTTGGAGTTTAGGAAAAGTATCGAGAGGTTTTGGAAGGAGAGGAAATGGAGTTTCACTAGCAAGAGTTGGGATACAAGTACAACACCCTAAATTGGGTTGTACTCATTACAGAGTACCCCACTGCAGGCTAGACAGCAAATACATTCTGACACACCCCCATAGCCAAAGTGGGGTGTAATCAGCACAATGAGCAAGCATAGAGCAAGAGTTCACAATAGGTAAGTAAGGCTAGAGCTAATCACAGAGGGCAAGTGAGGAGGAGGAGAGACTGTGGGGGAGAGAAGATGGGAGGCGACTGCTGATGCTGCAGACACACAGACGAGCTGCTGGCTCAGTGGCTACCGGAACAGCGCTCCGGACTACTGGGGTAACTGGCCCCGCGGCTAAAAGTAGCGGCAGACGAGCAACGGACCCACGGGCGACTGGCGACTACCGGAGATTGTAGCCTCCGGACTGCTGCTGCTGCTGACGACAAGACTGCTGCCTCCACTCGACCTCCCCAGCTGCCTAACGCCCTTCTCACACACCCCCTGCTCAAACCCTAGCCCTACACCCACAGCACCCCCTTAAACCCTAAACCCCAGACTCCCACACATCCACCCCCCTCAGCGAGAGCTGCAGCAGTGGGAGACGAAGGAGGAGGAGGAGGAGGGAACGGCACGCACAACCGACACCCCCACAACCATCACCCCCACACCCACCCCCCCATGGCTGCACCGGGTCCAGGAGCGGCTGCTGCAGGGGCCAGGGGCGGCTGCTGCTGGGGCGGCTGCTCCAGGGGCTGCTGCTGCTGGGGCGGCTGCTCCAGGGGCTGCTGCTGCTGAGGCGGCTGCTCCAGGGGCTGCTGCTGCTGGGGCGGCTGCTCCAGGGGCTGCTGCTGCTGGGGCGGCTGCTCCAGGGGCTGCTGCTGCTGGGGCGGCTGCTCCAGGGGCTACTGCTGCTGGGGCGGCTGCTGCTGGGGCGGCTGCTCCAGGGGCTGCTGCTGCTGCTGGGGCGGCTGCTCCAGGTGCTGCTGCTGCTGGGGCGGCTGCTCTAGGGGCTGCTGCTGCTGGGGCTGATGCTGCTGGGGCGGCTGCTCCAGGTGCTGCTGCTGCTGGGGCGGCTGCTCCAGGGGCTGCTGCTGCTGGGGCTGCTGCTGCTGGGGCGGCTGCTGCTGGGGCGGCTACTCCAGGGGCTGCTGCTGCTGGGGCGGCTGCTCCAGGGGCTGCTGCTGCTGGGGCGGCTGCTCCAGAGGCTGCTGCTGCTGGGGCGGCTGCTCCAGGGGCTGCTACTGCTGGGGCGGCTGCTTCAGGGGCTGCTGCTGCTGGGGCGGCCGCTGCAGTGGCGGCGGCTCCAGGGGTTGCTGCTGCTGGGGCGGCTGCTCCAGGGGCTGCTGCTGCTGGGGCGGCTGCTCCAGGGGCGGCTGCTGTTGCAAGGCAGGCCGCTCCAGGGGCGGCTGCTTCAGGGGCGGCGGCTCCAGGGGCGGCTGCTGCAGCGGAAAGTAGGAGGGAGGGGAGGGGAAGGGCGCGGCCCCCATTGTGCCCTGACGGGCGATGTGCTAGGGAGCCGCGCAGGTCCCCAAAAGTGCCCCGACTGGCAACGAGAGGGGACCGCGCGCAGGCCCCTAAGGCGCCGCGACGAGGCAACGGGAGGGGCCGGCTTGCGGGGCCCGAAAGTGCCGCGACGAGGCGACGGGAGGGACCTGCGAGCAGGCCCCCAAAACGCCTCGACGAGGCGACGGTCGGGGCCAGTGCGCGGGCCCCTAAGACGCCGCGACGAGGTAGGAACCCGCCGCGCGCCTCGGGGCGCACGGCGGGCAGAAAACCGCCACGCGCTCCGAGCGCGTGGCGGGAAGAAAAATGGGATGTCGCGCGCCACGGGGCGCGCGACACACAGTAGGGCAGCGGAATCGAGTGGGCCCACAGGCCAGGAACGTTAAGCTCTGATAACATGTCAAAATACTAGCGTGAGTTTGGCTTAGGAGCCATAGTTTAGGAGCCTTGGTAGTTGAGTTGGAGTTTAGGAAAAGTATCGAGAGGTTTTGGAAGGAGAAGAAATGGAGTTTCACTAGCAAGAGTTGGGATACAAGTACAACACCCTAAATTGGGTTGTACTCATTACAGAGTACCCCACTGCAGGCTAGACAGCAAATACATTCTGACAGGGCAGGGGCAGGGCGTGCACGGAGGAAGACGGTGGGGGGGGGGGGGGGGAGTGAGGGAGGAGGGGGGGGGAGGGGGGGGGGGATGGGGGGTGGGTGGGGAGGATGCGATTGGAGGGCGCAGCGGGGCGGCGTTACGAGAGGTCGATTCGGCCGGTGAGCGCCGTGCGCACGATCGTGCGGCGGCGGAGGTGGTTGGAGCAAAGGCGGTCACGACGCAGCCGTTGGCGGTGTGGAGGCACACCCGCGAGCAGAAGGCGCGGCGACGGCGGGCGCGGGAGGGCAATGGTGCAGCAGTGACGCAGCCGAGGTGGGAACGTGGCTAGTCGACTGGAGAGGGCGGCGAGGCAGAGGGGACCGGTGCGGAGGGTTTAGGGGCAGGAGGGGGCGGATGCGAGGCACCTTTGGCGGAGGGGGGTGCGGATGCAGGAGGCACTCACGGGGTGGGTACATTTGGCGAGGGAGGGGGGCGCGGTCGCCAGAACGTCGCACACCCGTCCTCCCACCATCCATCCGCCGTCCGTCCCGACCCTCCGCGTGCCCCTTGCCCTCCGCCCGGCCCTTTCCCTGGGCCTCCCGCGGAGCCTACCCGCGTCTACTACGACGGTCCGTACTTAACGGGCTTGATCGAGCGCGCGGTGGAGAAGTGCGTGCAAGAGGTGGTAGCTGCGCACGTCGGCCGCGTGTGCACCGGGCCCCGCCGCCGTCCCACGCCCATACGCAGCGCCGGCTCGCTCCGCCCGTCCCGCGCGACCCCGAGCACAGCCGTTGCAGTTGTCGGCGCAAGTGACACGGAAGAAATACCCCGGGGTGGTGACACACACGAAAACTTGGGGTCTATACGTGGTCGTGCGGGTCGCGGCCGCCCAAGACGAGCACTTTCGCGGGGGGCGAGTGGCCACGCTCGAGGACGGAGCGCCTTTAGCGGCGATGATACGAGTGGTCAACACCCCCACGGCCGATGCGAAGATGAAGGAGCTGATTAAGGGGATTCTCGAGCCCGCGGAGGTAGCCTTTCTACGGTCCCATATTGACGCTACCAAGAACTGGTTGGAAGAGGTGAAGGAGCGCGAGTATGGGTTCGAGGAGCGACGCGACTGGGGCAACCACCTTCTGGTTGAGTTGCAAGAGTTGAGACCCGTGTGGGTGCGGTGGTTGGCGAGAGCGGCAGCAGCACTGCCAGCCAGGGCCGCAGCGGCTACAGCCAGGGCCGCAGCGACTGAAGCCAGGGCTGCAGCGACAGCAGCGGCAAACAGTGGAGCGTCATGTGCGGACACGCACGCGGGCTCTCCGACGACGGCAACGGCGACGGCGAGGAGCGGCGTGCGGCCGACGAGTGCCCCGACAGGGGCGCCTCGGAGGGGCGGGGTCGCTGCGGCCTTGCTCCAGACCACCGCAGCGAGGTGGAATCTGGGGGGTTGAGGGCCTGCGACGGACCGCACGGGTTGGCGCGGGGATAGGAAGCATGACGTCGCGCGGTCCCTAGAGGTTGACTTGACTCGCAACCCCGACCGGATTTTGCTATGCTTGTTCACTTGGCTTTAGGGCGACTCGTAGCAACTACAGTATGGCCTGTACATAGACGTTGCACGATGTCATCATCCTACAGTCTAAAATAAAGGCATTGCCATCGTGGAACGTAGACCAAACCCTCCACTCGTGGTGCCCAAATTTCGGCTCACTCCTTGTGCGTCAGGGGCTCCTCCCTAACGCAAAGGAGTGATGCATCCTTATGTCCGTAACTACAGTGCTGCACATGTTCTCATGCTTTATGGTCCAATCAGGAGAACGAGACCTTGAAACCCATCACTTTTTTCCAAAATACATGACTCATTCAGGGTTGCTTATCCAGTCCAGATTCCCGTCAACGACTAATACTTGTGCCGACAGGTCACGTCCCACTCCCACACTTTCCGGATGGTACAGTAGTATGTGCAGCACCCCATTTGAGGCCCCTGAACCCTCGTTCAGGGTTGCTGTTCGTCTGTATGTGCGTCTGATCAGCAAGGAACTGGTCCAGGGTCACTAGTGCAACCTCAAAGCCACTGGAATTACACCTGTCCCGCAGGTGCTTTCCACCGCCAATGCAAACGCCATGTGCGCATCCATGCGTCTGTTGTGGATGGTTAGGGCGTACAGCAACAGCGATTGACAGCGCCCTTGCCAGTGTTTGACAGCGCCCTTGCCAGTGCCGCATCGCGTCTGGCAGGCCGGGCACTTCCACTCGTGACTGCCACCTCGCAGCACGTCGCCCGACATGCGGTCGCACTCATCGAGGCAGGCCCTGACATGGGGAGAGGGACGAGTTTCAGTGTGGCGTCGAGGTGGGACATGTGGCATGTGGCCTGGACATGGGTTGGGACGTGTGGCGTCGACAATGTCCAGGTCGTTGTCAGCATTGTCCGTGTCGTCCGTTTTGTCCGTGTCGTCCGTGTCCTCAGCGTCAGAATAGTCGCCGCCACTGCCACTGGCGCCCTCCCATGCGTCCCGGGGGTCCACGACCGAGCAGGAGGCACGGGAGGCGAGCCCATCCGCAGGCGCTGCTGGTGCCGCTGCGTCGGATGTCGCTGCTGCAGCCGCTGCTGCCTCACATGCCGCTGCTAATGCTGCTGGTGCGGCGGAAGCTGTGGTGGCGGTTGCAGATGGTCGCCCCCCTTTCCACCCTTCCATTGCCGCCGTCCACCGCTCCCGTCTGCTGAAGCCCGACGCCGCGGCTGCCCACACTTCTGTCTCACCACCCTCCCCTCCTCCCCCCCACCCATTCTCCCACTCTTGTGCGCCCTGGCAAGTTGTCTCCACGCTAGAGACCACCCATTCGGCGGTTCGCTGTGCTCTGCGGGATAGCGGCTGCTGTGGACCATCTGGTGCGCCGCTTCCCCACACCCTTCCACTTCCCCACGCCCCCAGCCTCCCGCCACGCCCCCGTTCCCATCTTCCTCTGCCGCTCCCGCAGATAGCCATGGCCGACCTGCCTCCCCATTTGCCCCGTCCCCCCCAAACATCCGGAGAGTAGGACCCGCTACCACCACATATGCTTCCCCCCCTGCTTTCACACCCCCACCCTACGCCGCCCCCCACAGGTTCACCCATGCTGGGCGAAGCGTTGGGGGCCTCATCGACAGCACCAGTGGAGGAAATGGATACCGAAGCAGTCCCGGCAGCTTCGGCTCCTTGCCCCCATGAAGGAGACGTTCCACTCTGGTCCGCCCACTTCCCCCTACTTTCCCGACCCACCCACCCGGCCCCCCTTGTATTGCCTACCCCCGCTCCTGCCCCAGACACCCTCCAAGCTGCCCCTCCCTGTGCCCCCCACAGTTGCCACTCCCCTTCTCCTCCGCCTGGCCCCGCCTCTTCACTGCCCCTTCCCCTTCCCCTGCCCCTTCCCCTTCCGCTCCCGCCTCCCTTCACCACACCCCATCCATGTCCGCCCCTGTTGCCCCACCCACTGGTTCCATTGCCACTGCATTGGGTCCGCGAGCCAGCACCACCACCACCGTTTCCTGCGTCGCACCCGTTCCTGCCCCCTCCACCCGCAAGCGTTTCCCATTCTCCTGCCCGTCCTACGTCCCATTCCCCCCGTCCGTCTCTTCTCCTCCCTGCCACATCCCCGTGCTCTGGATGTGATGAACCGCGAGTTGGAGCAGCAGCAGGCGGAGCATGGGGAGCAGCGGCAGCGGCAACAGGAGAAGCAGCGGGGGGAGCTGCGGCAGCAGCAGCGGCAGCAGGGGGCTGAGCAGCCGGAACAGAGGCAGAAGGGGTTTCAACATCCTCCATCGTCAATGGGCTTACGGTACGTTCGCATGCACCAGCCTCGGCCGCTGCATAGAACCGGTACCAGATGGAGCGACAGGATTGGAACAAAACAAGGCGGAGAGAGATGCAGCGACTAAAACCGGCCGGCCTGTGCGAGGACGCGGAGCATATATGTGTTTGTGCAGGGAGAGGAGAAGCGTGTACAGTTCTGGAAGTGATGAACCGCCAACCTTGCACAGGCATTTCATATCTCGCCTAATTATCGAAATCGAAAGCATACAAGGCCTAGGGATTTTTTGGGCTGTCCACTATTTTTTTTTTTATGCAAACAGGGACACATTCGCGGTTGCGAGTTGATCACGCTGTGCAATTCGAAAGGGATGCTGGTAGCAAGTCAAATAGGCCGAATGCTTTGCACGCACCAACCTGCCATGTATGCGCAGCAAGCCTGTAGAATTCCCTGGGACCAAAACTTTGAGTCCTGAGCTGCTTGGATTCTGGCCCTGATTTTCACGGGCGCAGGCAGAAAGCAGCACTTGACCCGGGCTTCTTAAGAAAGCGTACTTATCCCTAACGTAACAAAGATCGAATGTTTACCAGATACTTAGCAGCAAGAAGAAGCATGCTTACTACTATACACCTGAGGAGCAGTATCATATACAGCCTCTACATCGTAGGCAAAAACATTGTCAGCAAAAACATCAAGCGGTCATAAGGCAATAACATCGAGGGGAGAGGGGGGGTATTGTGGGGGGGTGGGGGGAAGGGGGGGGGGGGGGGGGGTCCTTCGAAACAGAAACCAAAACTTAGATTCAGGGGAAGGCCCAAGCGGGGCCCTTAACTGTCACGGGTGCCATGCGAATGTAGCACTTTATACGGTCGAGCTGCTCCGAGCGTAGCCCGGAATGTTCAGGGCATTAAGGGCAAATGCCCTTACTTCGACAGCCCTGATGCGCAGTCGAGCGAGTGGCGACAGCTCGAGGGCCAGTGACTGATGACAAAGGTTCAGCTTGGGAGAGCCGATTAAAATTTGGAAGTTTCTTGTTCGGTAGCCCCCCCGGTCGCACTGGGCCCACTCGCACAGGCGAAGCCTCCGACCTGTTGCGTAGCCTCTGTCGTCCACTGGCACTGAATGGAAATTAAGGACTGTTGCGATTGCCGGTGCAATTCATCGGCTCGGAACGATTGGAAGGCTCCACGCAGGCGGGAGGCCAAACCCGGGCACTGATTCGGCAAAGAAATGTTTTAAGATAATGATTTAAAGTGTCAGAACTATACTCTAGGCTGTAGTGGGGCACTCCTTATGGGGTACAGCCCAATAAGGTTTTGCTATACAAACCCTGTACTGCTGTCATTCTAGTCATTCATTCTTCCTTCATTCTGACATGGTTTCAGAGCAGGTTCCCTAGTGGGAACGTTTTTTGTTTTAGGGCCCACAACGATAACGATATTTTTTCCTGCCCTGCCCGAAGCGCACCTCACGCCTGCCTCACCTGCGCCATCGCGCGCCCTGCCCTACTGCCGCCCGTAGAGGCCCTGCCCTCCCGGCCCATCGCGGCCCTGCCCTAATGGCCCGTTGCGGCCCTGACCCAGCCGCCCGTCGCGGCCCTGCCCTTTCGCCGCCCGTCGCGGCCTGACCTAGCCGCCCGTCGCGGCCCTGCCCTGCCGCCCCCGTTGCGGCCCCACCTCGCCACCAGTCGCGGCCCTGCCCTGCCGCCACCTGTCGCGGCCCTGCCCTACTGCCGCCCCGTCGCGGCCCTGCCCTGCTGCCGTCCCGTCGCGGCCCTGCCCTGCTGCCGCCCTTTCGCGGCCCTGCCCTGCAGCCGCCTCGTCACGGCCCTGCCCTGCAGCCGCCCCGTTGCGGCCCTGACCTAACCGCCCGTTGCGGCCCTGCCCTGCACCCGCCCCTGGTAAGCGCCCGCTGCTGTCAGATTTATATGACTTAGCTGCTGTAGGCTATAGTGGGGTAGCACATATGGGGTACAGCTTTCTAGGGTTTGTACTTGTACCCAACTTTCCCTTAGTCTTTTCATTCCTCGTTCATTTTCACATGGTATCAGAGCAGGTTCCCCTGTGGGAACTGTTCCTAGGGCCCACCAACTTTTTTTTCCTGCCCGGAGCGCGCTCAGCCTCTGCCCGAGTCGCGCTCCCTCTCACGGCCCCGTCGCGCCGCCCTTACGACCCCGTCGCGCCGCCTCAGCGGCCCCGTCGTGTCGCGCCTCCCTAGCGGCCCCGTCGCGTCGCCCTTGCGACCCCGTCGCGCCGCCCTCGCGGTCCCGTCGCGTCGCGCCGCCCTCGCGGCCCTTTCGCGCCGCCCTCGCGGCCCTTTCGCGCCGCCCTCGCGGCCTCCTCGAGCCGCCCTCGCGACCCCTCCACGCCGCCCTCGCGGCCCCGTCGCCTACCCTTGCGGCCCCGGCGCCACCCTTCCCGGCCCCGGCGCCGCCCTTCCCGGCCCCGGCGCCGCCCTTCCCGGCCCCGGCCCCGCCTCTGCTGGCCCCGTTGCCCCACCCTTGCGACCCCGCGGCCCCACCCTTAAGGCGCCGGTCGCCACCCTTCGTGGCCCCGCCGCCGCCCTCAGCGGCCTCGTCGCCGCCCCAACCGGCCCCGCCGCCGTCCCCACGCGGCCCCGCCGTCACCACCGAGCCGCCGGCGCCGCTGAGCCGCCGATCTACCGAGCCGCCGCTGCTGCCGAGCCGCCCGAGCCACCCGAGCCGCCCGAGCCGCCGAGCCACCTGAGCCGCCCGAGCCGCCGAGTCGCCGAGCCGCCGAGCTCCAGTTGCTGCCGAGCCGCCGTGCCGCCGAGCCGCCCGAGCCGCCCGAGCCGCCGAGTCGCCGAGCCGCCGAGCTGCAGTTGCTGCCGAGCCGCCGAGCTGCCGAGCCGCCCGAGCCACCCTGTCCGGTAAGAGCGGCACCTCTACCACTGCGCTGCCCTTACCCTACTGCTCCAGCTGCTAGTCTACTGCTGTCATGGCTACCCCCAGTGTCCTCGCTTTTGACGCTGAGGGTCGGGCCATTGACTTTGACGTCTGGGTAGATGACCTGCAGCTTTTCCTACAGTGCGACAGGGCAGACGCTCTCTCTCTCTTTGACCTCACTTCTGGTGCCTCTTCTGCCCCTGCTGCTGATGCTGACGCCACTGTTTGCTCACAGTGGGCCACACGCGATGCTGCTGCCCGTCTTGCTGTGCGCCGCCACTTGCCTACCGCTGAGCGTGCACACTTTAGTCAGTACAAGAGTGCTAAGACCTTGTACGACGCTGTAGTTGCACGCTACTCTTCCCCTGCCACTGCTGCACTTAGCCGCCTCATCCTGCCGTACCTCTTCCCTGACCTCGCCGCTTTTCCCACAGTCGCTGACCTCATTACGCACCTGCGCACTAGTGACACTCGCTACCGCGCTGCCCTTCCTCCTGAGTTCTGCGCCAAGAACCCCCCCCCTATGTACATCACCCTCTACTACGTAGTCACCCGGCTCCCTGACACCCTTCGCCCGGTTAGGGACCACTTTCTCTCTGTTTGCCCCACCACCCTCACCGTTGACCTCCTCGAGGAGCGCCTCCTAGCAGCAGAGAAGAGCATAGTCGCTGTAGGAGCCTCTCGTGGTGACCCTCGTGCCCCTGTCTTTGAGGGGTGCTCCCCCTCTCCTCTCTTGCCCTCTGTTGCCTCTGCTGCTGCGGCCGACCTCGTTGGTCTTGAGTCGGTCGGTGCGGCGTCTGCCCCTAGCGGGAGACGCCGCACTGGCAAGGGCAAGGGGGGCAGGGGCGCTGGAGGAGCTAGCGGGGGCGGTGGAGGCGGCGGTGGAGGCGGAGGAGGGGGTGGGGGTGGCGGTGGGGGTGGTGGCGGGGGTGGGGGCGTCGGTGGCGGCAGTGGAGGCGGAGGCGGCGGCGGCGGTGGCGGTGGGAGCGGAGGTGGCGGAGGTGGCGGCGGTGGAGGAGGCGGCGGCGGAGGAGGTGGAGCTGGTCGGGGTGGCGCTGCGCAGAGGGTCGGCTCCGGTGGTGGTCAGCGCCAGCAGCAGCAGCAGCAGCGCACTCGTGAGATCCCCCCCCCTCAGCAGCTTCGTGAGTGGTACGCTGCACGCCAGCGGGGTGGGGGTACTGGTCCGTGCACCTACGTCCTACGCACCGGCGACCGCGCGGGTGAGCCGTGCGGAGGTGCGCACTCCACCCAGCGCTGCTTTGGCCGCCTGACGGACGCTTGGCGTCACCAGTTCCCTGAGGCCACTGAGATCCCTCGCTGGGGCGAGCTGTCTAGGGCGGGAGTAGCTATCTTTGACCTTGACTTTGATGCTATTCTTGCTGCCATGTATGCTGTGACTATTAGTGATGAGGGTGACTGTTACTGGTGTTTTCCGCCCGACCCGGGCATTGGGACTGCTGCTCTAGGTACTGGTGAGGCTGCTGCTCTAGGTGCTAGCGAGGCTGCTGCTCTAGGTGCCAGTGCGTCTGCTTCCTCAGGTGCTGGTGAGTCTGCTCTCTCAGGTACTGCGTCGGCTCCGGCCTCCCACACCTTCACTCTTGACTCGGGGGCTTCTCGCTCCTTCTTTCGAGACCGCACCACACTCACGCCGCTTGGTCGGCCAGTTGCAGTCTCTCTGGCAAACCCCTCTGGGGGTCCTGTCCTTGCTCACTTCTCCACTGTCCTCCCGTGTCCGGCGGCCCCCTCTGGCACCCTGTCTGGTCTTTACCTCCCCTCGTTCTCTACGAACTTGGTGAGTGGTGCTGACCTACAGGATGCGGGGGTTCACCAGTTCACTCCTGCGAGCCAGCGTGTGACCCACTGCACGGACGCTCGGACGGGCCAACACTTGGCCACGTTTACACGTCGGCCGGGGTCGAGCCTGTACACACTGACCACTGAGTCTCCTCCAGTCACTGCGTCTGGTCAGGCAGCTGCGTCGGGTCAGGTGTTTGCTGCAGCGTCCAGGTCTGGTCCTGAGTCTGCCCCCTGCTCGTGTCGCCTCCTGTCTCACGAGACTCTCCTC